TTATATTGATTATAATAATAGTGAGTAGAGATATTAGCAAAGCTAGTAAACTATTTTTAAACATTGTTTTTTATATATGTAGTAGCTAATTCTAGTTGTTAAGCAGGATTCTAATAGTTAGCTTTGGTAGCTTAATCAAATTCTTCTAACTATATTATAAAGTCTTGGGTTCTATTATTATAATAAAAATTAATTTTAATAAGAAACTTTTTACTATCTTGTTCTGAAGTATTAGCTAAAATATTTATTACTTTAGCAGTAGCAGTAAAAGCAGTATTAGCTATACAATATTTTCTTCTTGTACTAATTCTTTATTATTAGTTATAGTAGAATTTGTCAGTTTTAAGAGCTTGGTTGTTAGCTTATTCTTCTTCAAATAATTTAACAATAAGATCAAAGTCTTGATCGAGAAGTATTTCTAATAGTGATATAGTAAGAGTAGTTGTTAGAGTTGAAGAATTATATTTAAAAAAGTAGTATTAAAATCTAAATTACTTGTAAGTAGGCTCCAGGTACAAGAGGAGGGTTAGCAATAGATGTGTTAACAGATATTATATAATTAATAAATTAAGCAAAACAGTTAGTAGATTAAGTTTGATAAGAATTAGTTATAAGATGAGAAGTAAGAGTAAATTGTAAATTGATATTAGTAAAGAGTAAATTAAATATATTAATTTAAAGAGAAAATTAAACTTGAAAAATATTTTTATTGTAGTTAAAGAAAACAGAGGTAGATATAATAGAAATATCTTCTATTTCTTTGAATTGTAAAAGTTCAGTAGAATATAAATCAAATACCATATATTCCTGAAAATAAGCTATCATTTTTGGAAAAAAATTATATGAAAATATTGTGAGTAGCTTATTTTCAGATAAAAGCAGATTTTGTTTTATTATAAAAAATTTACTAAGTATATTGATATGGCTTATTAAGTGAAAGTTATTTAGAAGATCAAAATATATATATTCTGAAAATTTCATATAAATCGAACAACTTTTTATTAATTAATTTTTGATTTTTACATTCAACAAATATGAATATTAAAGAAATTTTAAAAATTTCATCAAATGTAACATGCAAAAACCTATTAATAAAAAGTCATCCAATTTGGATGAAACTTTTAGAATATATGTATTTTGACCTTCTAAATAACTTTTACTTAATATGCTATATCAATTTACTAAGTAAAATTTTGACTTTACTATAGAGTAACTACTAATAATCATATAAGTAGCTTATTTTCTGACAATAGAAGTTTTATGTTTTTTTTTCAAAAAAGAAGGTCGTCTAAAGCCATGTACCCACGTAACTTTTTGATATAAATCAACCAACCGGAATTACGAAATTTTGTTTACACAGATCAGCCTGAAGAAGTCAAAAAAAAGAAAATACAAAAAGATGAAAAATGACAATCTTAACCTATCTTGGAAAACTAATTAAAAATATCAGAAAGACAATTTTACCTATATTCCTCTTCTTATATCAACACCCAACTAACCTCTTAATTTTAATTTAAATGATTAAAATGTTAAAATCACATGAGTACATGGCTTTAGCCATCCTCCAAAAACAGAAGATAGTTTATTTTTGGAGTAGCTTATTATTTGTATAATCTGTTGATTATTTTTTTAAACAAATATTCTACAAGTTAGATACAAAAATATTGATGCTGCCTAAAATAAAACAAAAAATAATGTTGTTTTATTTTTATTATTAAGAATTTACTTGTATAATTTTTTTATAATTCAGATTTTTTGTAATACTGCTATCATTTATAATATTTATATTTTATAATTAGAACTTTTTAAAAATTTTTATTTTTAAACTTATATTGTATTTAAACTTTTATAAGATTTTATATTTAATTATAATTCTTTATAAATTATAAAAACAATATTTAAAAATTTGTTTCTAGCCTAACTCAAACTATTAATCTTTGTTTGTAAAATTTAAAAGCTTAACCAATAAGCTATAAAGCCCAAACTCTACTATATTTTTTATATTAAATATTAAATACTAAAAATAGCAATTTTTATATATAATAAATTTTGAATTTACAATCTGCCAACATACTACTTGAAAGTAGCAACTTTTTCTAATAATTACTTGTTTTAAGTTTATACCAAAATCTGTATAAAAAATTAAAGCTAAAGCAGATAATATATTTTTTTTTAACCAATCAAATTAAAATTGAGCTTACTTTAAAGCCACTTCTAATTTGCTTAAAGTTGCTTTAATTCACTCTAGTTTCACTAGTATATTTTTAACTCACTCCAACTTGGGCTGCTCCGAAGTATGCTACTCCATTAACAACCCTACAAAGCTCTATTTAATTTAGCAAAATTTAACGTTGACACATATTTTGTATTATAAAAGCATTAATTTAAAAGTAAACTTTAATTCTGGTAGCAATTTCTATAGTTAACAAGAAATTAAATGCATAAACCGGTTATTTGATGCATTTGCTAATAATCAAACATGTACGTGTTATATCGATATCAATTGCTATGGGTTAAAGCTTGGGTCTATCCAATCGAATATGGGCTGAATTTGGATATCTTTCTGGACATCGAAAATCGAAATGTGCGAAACCCTACTAAGAACTTTACCACATTACACCTGATCTCGAACCGCCAAATTTTTTGGTTGCGCCGTTAATTTATACGTATCGATATTTAATACCTCGACAGTAACCATTCAAACAAAAACAAACGAGCCTAGGGACTCCTCGAACCTTCCATGAGCATTATTTAGAAGTATGACCCACCAAAAATCAATAATTGGCTTATCGAGATTATATTGCCGTATAATGACGTATCATGTTAAAAAAAACACAAAGAAACGAGCCAGTTTCTTGGTAAATCGTACTATTTTAATGTTGAAATAATTAGTCATTAATTTTCCCGCAATTACAAAGGATGGACCATTTATCGCAAAGGGCGTAATTATATGAACCTTTTTTTAACCAAGAGATCCCAATGTGGTTAATTATCTATAAATGTATTTATTTATTTTTCTGCAAAACACGTACGTACGTACGATTATTAATATTGATATAGTAAATACGTAATTCTTCATTAACTTTATAAATCTTAAAATACAATATAAAATCTATATATAGTACATTATTCTAAAAATATTAAAATTAATCCTTTAAATCAATCATGTCTTCACGGTTAACACCGACGCCGATCCATTCGACTGAAATGAATAAATTTATTTTAATCAAGCAAATTACAAATAACTATATTAGAATAATAACTAAATTAGTTATAATTAAAATTGAGACTTACTAGGAACGCCAAGATAATTTTCAATAAACTTTACGTATTTTTGCGCATTTTCTGGAAGTTCTGAAAACCGCCGACATTTTGAGATATCATACTTCCAGCCTTGTAATACCTCATATTGGATGGTCACTTTCTCGAGAATATCTAAATCGGCTTTTATAAATTATTATATAGTTTTAGCCCGGTCAATGTTTCTCATGTTCTAAATAAAAAATATGCACAATGAAGGCATCATTACCTGGAAAGCTTTCTAAAGGTTTTCCGTCTATACAATATGCAGTTGCCACCTTAAGTTCATTAAGATTGTCCAACACATCAAGTTTGGTCAAATTCAGACTGTGATGCATTATAATCAAGTATCATATGATTAACAATGCTTCAAAACTACTAAAAACTATCCAATTAGTTTTACCTCGTATAGCCGTTAATTAATGTTGAATATTTCAAAACTACAAGATCAAGCCACCCACACCTGCGCTTTCGTCCAGTGGTAGAACCGTATTCGGCGCCAACGCGTTGTAAATATTCTCCTTTTTCCTATCATGTTAGGATTTTTATCATATATTCTTAATATATTGTATTACTTAATTTGAATCTTTTTATCTATCACATACTTACATCCGTCAATTCGGTAGGAAATGGACCTCCTCCTACTCTCGTTGTGTACGCTTTCATAACGCCGATCACTTTATCAATCTTGGTTGGTGGAATACCCAGTCCAGTGCTCACCCCACCAATAGTAGTGTTAGAGCTCGTCACAAATGGATAAGTACCAAAATCCAGATCAAGCATCAATGCATTAGCTCCTTCAACAAGAATCTTTTTCCGCGACGTTAAACTTTTGTGCATAAAAGCCACACTATCTACAACATAAGGTTTTAAACGTTCGGCAAAATGCTACATTAACGTTCAGTGAAGCGCGTCAGTATGTTATAAATTCTTAATTATTAATTAAACACGTAACATAAATGGTCTTTCCTAACCTTGTAACGTTCGATTTCGCCTTCAACGTCATATTCAAAATAACCGTACCGTTTTCTTCTGTTCTCTACTATCTGGCGAAATTTTTCTGCAAACGCCTCATGATTTGATAAATGATGAACACGTAAACCAGATCTAGAAGCTTTGGACGAATATGCGGGTCCAATACCTTTCTTCGTCGTACCGATACTAAAAATTTCCTCATTAGATCCAAAATTTATCCCAGGCAATTAAAGATGTTAACGGTTTATAAATACGATCCTCCATGTTTAAAATTGTGTTTAATAGATTAAAACCGTAAAACATCTATGATTTTAAACCGTTAACACCCTTACAGGCAAAATGTTTGGATAGTAATAACTAGATTTCACCTTGATCGTCCCAATTCTTTTTCTTTCAAGCCATCAACTATCTGATGAAAATCAAACACTAAATGCGCTCGATCCGAAATTAAAAGACGACCACTAGTATTTAATCCTATGGAGTCAATAGACCTTTAATATACACTCCCTCATAATGAAAAAAAAAAAATATATATATACCATTACCAACCTTTTTCTTCCAAAGCTTTCAATTCTTCAAAAAATGAAGGAAGATGAACAACAACTCCAGAGCCAATGATTGACACACAATTAGGGTTAATCAAACCTTTAAATTACGGCGAAAAACACGTTAACTCTTTACCAACAAGAAGTAAATAAGAAATGAAAGGGTAACTTACCAGATGGAAGCAAATGAAAATCATACTTTGTACCGTTTACGACTATTGTATGTCCGGCGTTGTTTCCACCCTAAATATCATAGTTGAATTTACCATTTATTAAGACGAATGGTTTTATCCACATATTGTAAATATATACTTACAGCGCACCGTGCACAAATATCTGCTTCTTGTGCCAATAAGTCAACTAGCTTACCTTTTCCTTCGTCTCCCCATTGGGAGCCCAAGACTACTGTAACGCCAACGTCAGAAATGTTAGAAGTTGTAAATAATCCCATTTTTATGAATTTTATTTATAAAGTCTCGGATTTAAACTTTATAGTTGATAACGTAAATTTCGGGCTGAGCATAAAAGTTTATATATTTTGCAAAAAAAAAAATAAATATGATTGGAAGTACAATGCACGTGAATAAACATGGAATGTACAAATATAAACACGCGTATGGATGAAAAAAAATTGCTGTCATATTCACAAAATTTATTAATATACTGTATTAATTATGGTGGAACAACGTTGAAAATAATTGGCTATTAATACGCGTGATACCAATCTTTTATATTAAATGTCCCGGAATATGTATTTATAATATTTTTAAAACTGAATTACGAATAAGGCAATCCCATCGTTTAAAAAGTATTTCTTTGTATTAATGCAGAATTCATATGCTTGCATCGAATTGTTTTTTGGGTTCTACCACATAGTGTTTGTAGTCGATTTGCATTAGTCGATTTTATCGGCTTAGCCGGGCTTAGTCAGCCGATTTTTTGAAAAATCG